GTGCATTGATGGTTTGCACAGGAAATGTAAGAAAAAAGACATGGAGATTGAGAGGCTAAAGGATGAATGTGCCGATATAAATGTCCAGCCAGTGAAAACTCCAAAAGTTCACTCAGGCAGGCCATTTATGGAAACTTCGTCAAATGTAGCACAACTCAAAGACAGACTCCAAGAAGAGACACTAGCAAAAGAGCAAGCCCAGAGAGAACTATTCAAGGCCCAAACTGAAGCTCAATCCTGGTGGGAGATCATGCAAGAACAAGCCGCGACCATCTTCGATTTTTGACAAAAGGAAGAAAGGGGGCTCGAGCTACTCAAGGAAATCACCCGTCAAAGAGATCAAGCTCTAGAGGCGGTACATGAGATGAAAACAATGAATAGATACTATCAGGAGAAGGCCAAAGAAGCACGCTCTGTCTACTATCACATGAGCATGGAAGTCCACGAACAAGCAGAGGCAATGAAGAGGCATGTTTTGGATGCAGAAGATAGCGTACCTATGCGCCAGCCTAACTTGAGTTTCTTCAGACTCCTACATTTTTGCCAAAACATATTGGAAAGCATTGCGTGATGAATGTTCACTAAACAAACAAATCAATGAGAATGATATTTGTTGAATTCCTCGATTGTCTTTGCATCCTAAATTGCATTTCATTTAGAACATACACTTTTCTAGTAAATTTATAAGGAATAAAAAGGGAAATCTAATTTGTACATGTTAACTAGATAATGAAATCACTTATCGTCAAATGCAAACCCGAGGTTTCATATCGGGAAGCACTGCATGAAAAGTCAACAAATATTTAAGAAAACGAACGGCAAAACGCGCCCAAGCATACCGTCCGAGTGCCAAGTCCTTTCCCCTACGAAAGCGACAAGGCAGTACCATGGGTTTATGATGTGCAAAACTTGTCGTCGTTAGAATCATCGAATATCACCGGGATCGGAGGAATGACTAGAAGTGGACATGTTTATACCCCCAAGGACTTAGGAAATAAATCCCCGAAAGGAAAGGACAAAGAGGAAGGAAGAACGAAGTGCGATAAAGAAGATGAATTTCTTCAGTTCATTTATTAATTAATTTATTAAAATTAAAAAAAAAATTATAATTTCCGACGGATTTTTCTGTCAGAAATTTTGACAGCAATTTCCGACGAAATTTTCTGACAGAATTTTCTGTCAGAAAATTCCGTCGAAAAAATTATTTTCGACGGATTTTTTTTTCTGACGCCACTTTTTCCGACGGATTGAAATCTGTCGAAAAAAGCAAAATTCGTTGGAAATTTACCTATTTCTGTCGGAAATTTCCGTCGGAAATCAGCATTTTTCTTGTAGTGTATCAATGATTAAAGTTTGTTGGTATTTATTAATAATTATGGATAGTTAAAACTTATTTTTTTTTTATAAATACTAGTTTGTTCCATATAATAAAGGTTGAAACTTGCAAATACCTAATGTATCTAATTAAGTTTCAACGATACTCACGTATCAATGTGTTATTATAATGTTACTAATCATCATTTCTTTTCTAGTAATTTAGTTTTGTTTTCAATTTCTTTCTTCCTACTTGTTCTTCTCCAAATTTAACTTTTCACTTCTTGATCTTCATTTATTCTCCAAACTTATTCCTTTCACTTCTTAATCTCAATTTCTTTTCCAAACTCTTACTATTTTACATTCCTATAAAATCTCTCTTTCTACTTTATTTCAAGTTAAAAATCAATAAATTACTAGTTTGAATAAATAGAATCCATACGATTTCCGAAGATTTTGAGTCCTACTTAAAAAATTATTTGTTTTCAATTACCGAAATCAAATTCTATAAAAACACCCACCAACATCATTTATGATAAAACTTAATTTTATTTCATTTGTTTTCTTAGTCATATTTAATATGCAATTTGTATTTTAAAATTCATTGTTGGATCGAGCGCTTACCACTAGGCCAAAAGCTATAACTGATAGTCAGGGTGCAACTCTTTTTACTTAAGAGCGCAGCAGCCCAAGCGCCATGATTCGACAGTGACTTGGCCCACCTAGCCTCCGCCACGGGACAATTGATGCAACCCGCAACATTCATAAGATTTAATTGACCAAATTTGTAACAAGCCGTGTGCTTGGAAATCGTATGTTACCTTCAAAAAAAAACATGTTCAATTATTTTTAAAAAGATAAATCCTAGCCAGATGAACATGATATTTTATAAATAAAAATATGCTTGAAAGACTTGGGTCGACATGCTTACGCGAGAGACTGTAAATCTATGATTTTCTAATACATCAATTATAGAAAATTAAGGACTTAGGAAATAAATCCCCGAAAGGAAAGGACAAAGAGGAAGGAAGAACGAAGTGCGATAAAGAAGATGAATTTCTTCAGTTCATTCGACAAAGCGAATATTCCATCATTGATCAGATTAACCATACCCCCGCAAAAATCACTCTGCTTTCGCTGATCATGAGCTCTGAACCACATCGAAAGGCTCTGTTAAAAGTTTTGAATAAGGCCTACGTTGCACACCACATATCCCAAGACAAGTTTGAGGGGATCGTGAGTCACCTCACGGCTAACGATCATTTAACCTTCACCGACGATGAGATACCCAATGGTCGACCTAACCACAATAAACCCTTGCATATATCCGTAAAGTGCAAGGATTTTCTCATCGCTAAAGTCTTGGTAGATAACGGGTCTTCGCTGAACGTGTTGCCTAAAGGCACCTTTGACAAGCTAAGGGTTAAAGAAGCTCAGATGCAACCAAGCAATATGATCGTTCGAGCTTTCGACGAGTCTTGAAGAGAAGTGATGGGAGAAGTCGTCCTACCCATTCAAGTGGGACCCATAGTTTTCAACGTAGAATTCCAAGTAATGGATATTGCGCCCACTTACAGCTGTCTCTTGGGAAGGCCATGGATACACCAAGCAAGGGCAGTACCCTCCACGCTTCATCAGAAGGTCAAGTTCGTAGTGGATAATAAGCTGGTAGTCGTTCAAGCGGAGGAGGATATGATTATCAGCAAATCGCTGACTGTTCCATATGTAGATGTAGCTAAATTGGAAACGGCCTTCCAAGCACTGGAAATCGCTCATGTAGAAAAGAATTCAAACAAGAACCTGGTAGCACGAATCTTATTCAAAAACGGCTATCGATCGGGACAAGGACTTGGAAAGAGCGCTCAAGGGGTAAAAGAGTTCCCAAACTACATAGGCAACCCAGGGCGACGAGGCTTGGGGTATGAGCCAACGACAGAACCCAGGAAGGGAGGGACGACCACCCCTGCTCTATACGAAATCTTTTAGAGTGCAGGTATCCGAGTAAGTTGTGGGACGACTTTGGTGATTAAGTTAACTAGATCCTGTTGAAGAATGTCTTCTCTCGTATTCCTGTGTATAAATCACGAACTTGGGGCATGCCCAGGCCCTCAAGATAGACTAAATGGGCACGTGTAAATTGAAGATTCTACTTTAATGTCATGTTTTTATTTCCATTTCTCTTCTCCCTTTTACCTGCTCTAAGCCTCGTTAACAAACCTTAAAGGGACAAGTGCATTCGAAATAAGGATGTCATTACAAACAATGGCTTAATATGCGATAAGGGACACATAAAAATTCAATCAAATTCAGCATAACTTGCGAATAAAAGTCCAAAAAAAATTAGCGCAAGGGGTATTCCTCTTTAATGAAGAAATGAAAGATGATCACAAATGCTGCAAAAAAACAAAGGTCCGCTAGGAGACCCACAAACAAAGAGGGTAGCCTAGGAAAAAGTTAGGACAAAGTAGCATCCCGAGCTGAAAACTGAAAGACGGCTTAGGAAGGTCATTTAATCAATACGCAATCCAAGTCATCGCTTAATTTTAAAGGAAATAATGAGCTAATGCGAATAATGATTTACTCATTTTGGAGGTGCTTGTTCATCATCAGCCTAAACCACTTGCCTACCTCGGCCAACCATTCTTCTAAAAACCATTCTCAGAAAAAATCCTTTTTAACAAAGCTTTTGCAAAAGATATGTATATATCCCTTTTTCCTCTTCCCTTTTGACCTACATGGCATTAAGATAAAATTGGACAAATACACGGAAAGTTGTGAATACTCACAGGAAAACGGGCGAAACATCTCTTACTAAAGGGTCGAAAAACATTCTTCACCAAAAAAATACTACCCATGACAAGAGAAGAGCGATAAAACGGGGATAAAGAAAGTTTCTCGACAATCAAAGGAACGAAAAGCAATAGATCATCCTAGTATATGGGACCGTCCGAGTGCCAAGTCCTTTCCCCTACGAAAGCGACAAGGCAGTACCATGGGTTTATGATGTGCAAAACTTGTCGTCGTTAGAATCATCGAATATCACCGGGATCGGAGGAATGACTAGAAGTGGACATGTTTATACCCCCAAGGACTTAGGAAATAAATCCCCGAAAGGAAAGGACAAAGAGGAAGGAAGAACGAAGTGCGATAAAGAAGATGAATTTCTTCAGTTCATTCGACAAAGCGAATATTCCATCATTGATCAGATTAACCATACCCCCGCAAAAATCACTCTGCTTTCGCTGATCATGAGCTCTGAACTACATATTTCCCACATGAGACATAATTATCTTACAGAGACAACCTCTTACCTATGACTATTCATTGACGTGACGTGGAGGGAATGCTTGAAAGAGGAATAGATCAGAGGGTGACCTATATATGGTGGTGTTTGCGTAACTTTCTGACCATTGACAAAAGACTTTCAATTCCCCTTTAAGAAGTTCATATCTTTCAGATATACTACAATATATTCTTATCTTTGTCCCCCACATTATCCGTTTGATTATGATACAAATATGTCTCACGACTTGGCAAGTCAATCTCTTTTCGGTGGTTACCCATTACGGGAGGAAATGGTGATGCAAGACTAGAAATAGTGAACAATCTCCTGATTTTTCCAATTTAAAACATGCATGATAATGCGTATAATCTAGAAAGTAAAACATGAATAGCTCTATCAAAGATGATAAAAGTAAAATAGTAATTTTGTTATTTGAAATAGATAATGTGAACTTCTTATTTAGAAGTAACGTTTCCATTAATTAAAAGTAGGATCACTATAGGTCCTTTATTACATACAATATGTTCTCTATATATGAGTTATTTTGTCAAGCAAATGGCCTTTGATTGTTGCAATCCAAGTTATTCCCGGGGCTCACTCCCATCAATTGGCAGTACCTTTGGTAGAACCCGACCCGATCTTGGACCCGGTTATCCTGCCCGTGCCCGCATTCGAGTCCGCCGTTGATTATGTTGGTGATCACACCGTACCCGGGGACCCGACCCGCCGACGTGTCGGCACTAGATGGCTTCCATCTTCCGGTGATGACGTCATGGCTTGATGGCTTGTTGGCCTGTGCGGTCATCCAAAACCATAGGGCTGTTTTGAATGACACGGTTGGATCTGTGGCCACTAGATCCGGATTGTTTATCAAATCTAGTTTGAGGGCTTGACCAGCTTGACCGTAATTGTAGTTGCTGTGGAAAATTAAGGGTCAACGTATATCCTATTAGTCAACTCACACCATATAATACTATCATTGAAGTAGAAAAATTCACAAACTCCATATACTACTAGACTCCTTATATTTCCACATCTTATAATTTTATATTCTAATATCTTACATTTGGTTTGGGAAACAAAGTGGGATTTTGTTTTCAAGTTAGTTTTTCTCTCTTTTTATGAAAAAGAGAGAGCGCATAAGAACATATAATGGGGTTTAGTTTTCTGTCACTTTTTATAACAATTTTTAAGTTTAAATATACTTTTATTCTTTCAAATAATATGATAAACTTTAAAGTTAGTTCTTTAAAAATATTGATTTTAATTTTAATAAATTTAGTTTCCATTATTGAATAATAATTTAGCATGATATGTACATATGTTACATCAATAACCATTATCAAATAACATTTGATATAACATATCTACGTGTATATTAATTGCATTATTAATAAATAGTGATAGAGATTGCTTCCAATTTTTTAAAATTTATAAGAATGAAAATTAATAAAAATTAAAAATTAAAAACTTATTTGGTACACAAATTTATTTTTACAATTCTAATTTATTTGATAAATTACTTCAACTTAGTTTATGAAAATAATTTAGCTTATAAAATATTAGTTTTTTGTTTCTTTATTTTATTTTTGTCCCTACTATTTTTTTCTTCAAATAATTAAATATGCCATTTCCCATTTACCAACTAACATATTATTTAATCTTACCAAGCAATTGTAATTGAACCGATTAGCCTAGAAGCTTTCCACTCTTAATTAATAACTTATATATAGGCTGTGAATTTTTAACTAACTTATATACCAATTTTACCAAACACACCCCAAAATTAAAATCTTCCATATTTACATAGACCATAAAATATATTAATTTTTATTGTATAACAATCTTAATGAAATGGATTTCATCCAAATTTAACAAATTAAAGAAAAACATTTTAATCAACCTGTTTGATGTTTCTTGGGGGATGGGGTTGAAAAGCTAGGGAGGGTGACTTACTGTGTAAGTTGGATTGGTCCTCGGCCATAATATTTTTTACCAGCAGCACATGGCCAATTCCCACCATCACAATAAACTGCCTGGTTATTTTCGTTGATAAAACAATATCCCCATGCATATGGACCATCTGGTGCATTTGCCCATCCTCCTACACAAAACATTCGCATATAAGTTAATCATAATCCATGTTGTCAATAAATTTAGATAGAGATTGTAACTCATCACGTACCATATATGTAACAACATCACTTACATTAACAAATTTAATAATGTATGATTGTGACCCGTCTAATCATTCATACATACAATTATTTATTTTTATACTAATTAAAACTATTATGGAACCTGTGGTTTCATGAGAAGTTTGAGCCAAGAAAGCAGCGATTTCCCTCTTGCGTGTGGCATCATCACCGGTGGTGCCAAAGCCATTGAAAGAGCGAGAAGCAGCAATGAAAGCATTGTAGGTGTAGAATCCATGCCCCGCACAGCGTCCATCGTTTCGGTATTTAAGCATTTGATCGAAGAGAGAAGAGCTAATGAGTCCACTGATATCTCCATTGTTACCACCACTTGGTGCAGTTGGAGTTGGCTTTGAGGGTGCAGGTGTGGACCCAGATTTACACTGGCTCTGGCAACCTTCTCCACAATACGAATCTGTGCTGCCACACCACCCGAATTTGCTGCAGCATAACCCATTTGGGCACAGAGCTCCACCAGCTTGTTTACCACACTGTTCTGCTGTGGCCCCATGCAAGAGTGCTAGTGACAAGCATAGCATCAGAGAACACAATTTCATCATGGTACCCATTTTCGTAAAGAAATGGTGTGTCTTGTCAATGATCGATGTGTTTCACTGGTACCATGAAATTGAAGATATTTATAGATAAGCTGTGGTGAGAGTAATTGTTTTTTTATTTCCTTGTTTTCAACTTTGGCTGCTGCTTCACTTAGCTGTCTTAATCTGTTCCACGACTTTGTGGTGTAAAATTATTATTATTTTGATGTGGTTCCAGAAGGGATACTATTAATTTCAAGAATATGAATTTCTATCGTTATGAGAATAAGGGTAAAGTAATTATAATTATTATTGGTGCATGTTTACATTAACTTAACCGAAATTACATCTAGAAGAAAATTAAAAATAAAATAAAATATTTCATTTATAAAATAAAATTAGTTTATACTTAGGTTAAAACTAAAATTTTAGAGAAGTTAATAATATTAGATAACTTTTATAAATTTATTTATATATAAACTAATTTTAATTTATTAAAAAGTTATTTTATTTTATTTTTTCTCTCTAAAACATTGCGAAGAAATCTATTTTAACATGAAACTTCTTTGGATATAAATTTAAAAATATTTGTAAGAATTTTTTTTTATTAAAAATACTAATTATTGTTAATAAAGAAACTTTTAAAAATATTTCTAAGTTATATCTACACGCACTATCTTTATCATGATATATTGTGATCCTTGTCTCCTACATTTATTCGTTTGATTAATATATAAATATTTCCGATCCCTTGACTTGGCTAGTCAATATCTCTTTCCGGCGGTAACCCATTACGCGAGTCGCGAGGAAATGGAGGACCAGAAATAGTGGACAATACACTGTATTTTCCAATTTTACATTGAGAGGAAGAAAAGTATATATGTTAGGGTTGTGATGTATATTATTTAACATTTATTTCTTTCTTAAGTAACATGTTACGCTTCCTATTAATTTATTTTGAGAGAGAATTAAACTTCCTATTCTTTTTAAAGCAAGATTCAATAGAAATTAATCTATGTTCAAGATATAAAATTGTTTCTTCACATGGTAATGATTAATGTATAATTCATTTTTTTTTGAAGCAATGTATAATTCATTTAGAAGATTATGATACTTAAAAATTATTATTCCTTTTCTCCTATTTTGCTTGATGTTTTATCAAAAAATTGTCGTATTTTTAATTATTATTTTTATAATATCAATAAATCATTAAATATTTTATATTATATTCTTGAATATTTAATATAAAAAATAAGGATAAATTAGAAATTTTGTAATAATTATTATGAAAGCTAAAATATTAATTATATTCGTTAATATCTTCAATAAAAACATCAAATGTTTGTAACGACCAAGATTTTCTACAATAAAATAAAATATGCTCTTTTAAAAAAAATATTATGAATTTAATTAATTGATATTTAATAGTGTGTTTTGAGAAACAACTTTGTATGCATTTATCTGGTCTTTTGACCTTTATATGTGTCTTATATTCATGTTTTGGCTTAGATTTATGATAGTAGTATTATTTGATGATTATTGTAATTTTTACTCAATTTTTGGATTTTTACCCATTTTTACACTTTGTTCTTGTATAGGCCATATATGAAGCTCCTAATATCGGATTTGGACAATCTTGGTCTCTATAGAAAGATAAAAGAGAGTTCTACATCTTCTCTGTTAGGAACAAAGGCCAGCTCAATTGTTAAGGGACCCAAAAATGCGTTGCAAGTTTGCAGCCCTATGTAGTATATTTTCTATTTGTTCTTAGATTGTAATGTTAGAATTTGTTTAGTAAGGTAATTAGTTGATTTAGTGGGATGGACCTTTAATTACTCAAGTTAGACACACTATATTTCTCTATTAATAGGTGTTGTGAGATTTGTTGTGTACACTTTACACTCATTTTTCAAATTTTAGAGTTGTTTCCTCTACAAGTTTTTCTAAACTCTCTCTTCCCTCTCTTCTCTCTTTCTCTCTTAGAATTTTTCTCTTTACATTTTTATACAAAAAGGAATTGCAGTATCTTGATGAAGATGTGTCACTAATCCATATTTCATCTGATTCAAGGTTTAAAAAATTATGATAAAATTCAAATTCTAGATTTATTTTTATCATACGAACTCTCTTCGTCTTCTTCTCTATTCTACATCCATTTTCCATTCTTCATGATTTTGAATTTTGTTTCAATGGATCCGGATTAGATTTGAAGATTAATTTTGGATCTAGATCTAGATTTAGATCTAGACCTAAAATAACCTAAATCGCCTAAATCAATTGTTCATCGTTGTTGAATTTCAAGGAAATTGTGAGATTGCGATTGTGTTTCATGTTTTTATGGAATTCAATAGATCGAGATTTAGATTATGTTCATGTTGATTTAGGTTGAATGAATTTGGATTATAATTTAAACCGTGAAAATTTTACCATAACGTAGCGATTGAAATCTTGAATCAATGTATTTTCTGATTGAATTTTATTTTTGTGTTTGCAATATTATAATTTCTCTTTGCTGTCCATAAAATTCCCCTTTCTAATTACATGATAATTTTGGATCCAATTGACTTGTATATCTTCGAGAAGAATGACCTAGGTTGTTGCCTATATTACAAATCTTTGGGGAAAATCTAGTCATTTTTGATAGTGAGTGGGCAACACTATCAAAAATGGCACCGTTGCCGGGGACACAAGTCATGTGTCTTGATTTTATCACGCCTAGTAACTATTTGTGGAATTGCTTTTGTATATACTAATCTTGATTCTAACCATTTTTGTTGAGTTTTGTGGTTTGTTTAATATTTTCTCACACACTTTTTTAGAGTTTTCGCTTTGGGCTGAAACATTTTCCCCAAAGGTATAACATCATTTTGAGCAAGCTTAGGGAGTAAATTGTGCGTAAAATTATCAAATTTCATTGTTTAGACCATTTTTTTAATTTTTTTTACTATTTTTTATATTCTTAAAAATTACCAAAAAATTATAGAAAATAGGAAATTTGATATTAAATGAGTTTCTAGTAGTCTTGTATTTTTTTAAAATTCTTTTGGTAGTGTTTTGCATGTTATAGGTTTTCTTTGTTAGATATTGACTTTATGGTTGACTTTTCACTTTTCTGTTGACTTTCACTGCTTTGTTTTGTTTTGCATTGTTAGTCTTGTTTCTATTTTAAATTGTGATTTTATACTTGTTACTATTAACCATTCGTGGTAATACTATTAGAATTTATTATGATCCTCCACAGTAATATTATGATCCTCCACAATAATATTATCATGATTCATACTCTGAGAGGTATAGTTCTTAGTGGATAGGCCATCATTGAGGTCCTATTGAGGATTATGTTCAGCCACCACCTGAATATAGTGGTGGATCTACATTAGAGGAAATGATGAAACAGGTGGTTGAAAGCAATAAGTTTCAACAAGAGTGGAATGTTGCATCTCAAGATTTGCAAATACAAATTGAATATCAGTTGACTACTAATATCAACAAACTACAATTAGCACATTCATCTATGTATGCCTTGAGGAGTGACATTCCTGATCATGATTGTACTAGTATTGATTCATTTGGTATTAATTCCTCTATTTGTGAGACTACTGACCTTGTATCTGAATATGAATTTGACATTTCTGTTGTCATTGTTGACTCTGATTGTACTTGTGATGATTTTATTATGTGTTATATGTGTAAAGATTAGTATTGTTATTGCAATTACAATAGATGTAATATCAGATGATTCACCAACAGATCGATGTGGCTACAATATATAGTTGATGTTTAGTCAGTAGAAGAGCCTCCATTACCATCCATTGTGCAACCTTTATCCTTAGAGCTTAAACTTGAATCTTCATTTGATATATGTTTAGAGAGTTTTCCTAGGATGTTACATGGGTGCATTGAAACTAACTTTGTGCTAAATTTTGAAATTTTACATTTTATGATAGTAGAAGGTATAGTTTTAGAGCACTTAGTATCTACCAGAGACATAGAGGTTTTTAGGAATGATATTCATATTTTATCTTCTCTACCTTATCCCGTATCTATGCGGGAAAAGCTTTCTTTTGTTAGACATGCAGATTTTTACAAGAAGAAGGTCATGACAGATTTCTACAAATTAGTTTTCTCATTGTCCAAATATCTAAAGTGAAGGAGCAAGTGGAGGATCTTCCTCTAGTTAAATCACGAGAAAAACCATGCAAATCATCTCCCTTTAATTTATTTTACACTTGTGTTTTTTATAGCATTATATGCTTCCTATGGAGCATTTTATGCTTACATTGGAGATAACACAAATTTCAAGTGTGGAAGGAGATGCGGAGGATCTCTCCTTGGTCAAGTTACATGAGGGAGTTTTCTTTTCCCTCTTTAAGTTTAATTATTTTGTCTTAGATGTTACATTTTTATGTTTTCATTGAGGATAATGTAAAATTTAAGTTTGGGAGATGTATTTTATATTTTTGCTTAAGTTTGTTATTTCTATATTTTTATTGTTGGTTTTTTCTGTATCTTTTATTTATTTATTTATGTTTCTATTTTTGTATTTTATATCTTTTACTGTTTTTGTTTCTATTTTTGTTTTTTCTTTTTGTTTCTATTTTCGTTTTTGTTTTTATTTATGTATTCTATATTTGTTTCTGTATTTTGTATTCTGTTTCTAGTTTTGCATTCTATTTCTGTTTTTATTTTCTGTTTCTATTTTTGTATTCTATTTCTGTATTTTGTATTTTTTCTGTTTTTGTTTGTTATTTCTATTTTTTTGTTTTTGTTTTAATTATTGTTTCTATTTTTTTATTTTTTTATTTTTGTTGCTTTTAATAAATTTTAGTGTTTTTTTTACTGTTTTTGAAAAAAAAATATAATAAATAATTTGAAAAACAATAAAAGAAAAGTTTTACAACAATTGAGAATTTTTTACTTTTCTTTGGATTTGTAGATGTATGGATTTAGAAAGTTGCACCATTTTTTGTTGATTGGTTGAACATCATGAAGTAACTCATTTATGCATTTTTTATTTTGTAAGTTGATTAGGAAAATTAGAGTTTGAAACATTGATGGTAAAGCTATATACCTTGTGAGATTTT